GTGTGCGTGTGGGTGCACGAGTTTCTGCCACCCTCGGCGACTTTCCTTTCTCTCCCTGTTGTCTTTCATCCCTGGGGACGTGGGTGACAAGGGGCTGGGTGACGAGCTGCCTGATGCTCAGGGAGGGTGCAGGGCTGTGCCTCCCTCCCTGCCCTGGAGGTCCCAGCACCCAAAGGGGCACCAGGGAGGAGGAGGGCACTGCTGGGAGAGCTGCTCCTCCTGCTGCCCGTGGGTTATTTTCCCATTCTGCTTGGAGAAACGCTTCCGATTTGGTTTCATTTCAAACTCCTTTTTGCCTGATGAACCAGACGTTGGCCCTTTGGGGTATGAGCTGAAAGAAGCCTGGGGTTTGGGGTTTTTTTTTTGCTTTGCCTGTGTCCTGGGATCGGTTCCCTCCAAGGCAGCGGGGCTGTGGCCATGCTGCCATCGTGCTGCCCTGGGGTTGTCACTGCTTTACCCGTGCTGCTGCCCCGGCTCCTGAGCCCTGCTGCCTTGCCCCGTGCCCTCCCCGCGCTCGCCTGCTGCGGCGTGGCCACTCAGATCAGGCTCGTGCCTTGGAAGGCATCGCTTGCCATCTCCCGGGGCAGAAACACGCTCACCGAGGGCACGAGTGACCCTGGTGAAGAGGCAGCTTCAGGGCAGCCCCTTCTTTGCCCCCGTTAGTGCGGTACCACCAGGGGATGGTGTGCACCCAAGCATCGCGGTCCATCGCCGGCCGGTGCTCCCCGTGCTCTCCGGAGAGCAGAGCTGCCGGTGGCTGCCGTACCTGTGGCCTTTGCAGACACCAAAACTAATTGATCTAATCACAGTCCAGAGCCCTGCGTCCACATCCAACTATGGTTTCCATTGCGTTCAGCAGCCCATTTCCATCCCCAGTTTAACCAAATGGGTGCATGTTTAACACTGGGATGCTCCACCCCGGAGACGGTCCCGTTTCCAAACGGGGTCAGGCGGACCTGTGAGGAGAGAGGGGGATGCTTCTCTGGGGCTGACTTGGAAAATCACCAGCGCGTTTGCCAGCTGCCGGCTCGTGCTGGCCCAGATTTGCCCGTCAGGCTGCGAGATGTCACATCCCAAACGTGGCATATGGAGCTCGGGCTCAAATTGTCTCTTTTCTGGCCTAAAGGATGAAAAACCCACTTGAACCGTGCAGAAGGCATGTGAGCGCTGCATGGGTTCGCTTCTTCACGTGGCTGGGGGAGGACAGCCACCCCCGTCTGGCCGCTGCGCCTGTGCCCGGTCCCTCCCCACTGCCCATGGGCATCCTGGGGACATCATAGAATCACAGAATCATAGAATCACTTTGGTTGGAAAAGACCTTTAAGATCATCGAGTCCAACCTTTAACCTAACCCTGCCATCCCACCACTAAACCCCATCCCTAAGCACCTCATCCATTCTTCTTTTAAATCCCTCCAGGGATGGGGACTCGACCACCTCCCTGGGCAGCCCATTCCAGAGCCTGACAACCTTTTCCGTGAAGAAGTTTTTCCTAAGGTCTAGGTGGTGGCCCGCGGCCTCCTCACCCGAGGTCTGTGGTGGCAGTTCCCTGGGGTCCTCTCCTCACTCTTGTCCTCGCCCCAGGCATCCCGCCGGCGATGGCCTCGACACCCCAGTGAGCGGCGAAAGTACAAGGACCGAGTCCCCCCCAGCACCGCCACGTCCCCCGGGAAAGCCATGGACGCCCCCCTGGATGTGCCCGTGGGGAACCTCATCGATTTTGCTGCCGAAACACCCCCCTGCATCCCCTCAGAGCCCTCTCCTCCCCCTGTCCCCAGTGGCAATGGGCACCTGGGGGATGCGGGGGACGCGGCCGGGGAGGAGAGCGATGCCACCGAGTCGGCGGACAGCGAGAATGACATGGGCGACTCTCCTGGGCACTGGGGTGGCTACCGCCGCTCCTCCTCCAACGAGTCCTTCTCCTCCAGCCAGAGCACCGAGTCGGCCCGGGACGAGGCGACGGCTGAGCGCCGGGAGTTCATGCGGCACTACGTGGAGAAAATCTTCTCCGGGGGGTGAGGGAACGGGGCCGGCCAGCCTGCTGCCAGGGGCCGTCCCACGGGATGGGGTCTGGCTGCTTTCCCACGCCGGGAGCGTCGGTTTGTGCCCTTCCCCACGCATGGCTAATGCAGCTTGTTGTTCCCCACCGTAACGTGGCGCTGGAGCTAAGCGGGGGATGCGGGCTCTGACTTGCACCCCTCTCTCGGGCACATTCCAGCTCATTTCACCCCCAACTTCCCTCCCCTCCTCTTCCTCCCCTTTCCCATGCCAGGCTCTTGCCATGGTGGGGGGCTCCAGCTCCTCTCCCCCGCCAGGCATCTCTGCTGCTCTTTCGTGGAGGTTGGCAGCTCGTGCGTGCCCCGGCGCCCCCCGGCAGCCCCCAGCTTCCCCCCCAGCCCTGCCTCCCCCCCAGCTCCCACCGTTGTGGTCTCCATAAGGCTTGCGGCGCAGCGTGTCAAGCAGGATGGAGCAAACTGAGCGCGATGAGCAGCAACGGGGGTTGGCTTTGCTCGGAGGCAGAGCGCCTGTCTCCGGAGCTCAGCTTCTGCTCGGGCTGTCCTTGGCTCTTCCCTTCTCCCTCCGCCTTTGCTTTCCCCCCTGCTCGGAGGGAACAAAAGAGCAGTGAGAGCCGGAGGATGACAAAATGGATGCTCCCCTTCCCCTCTTCCTCTGCCTTCCTCCCAGCGTTGCAGCACCGGGATGCTGCTGCTGAGAGGGATGACATGGGGAAGCTGAGGCTGGGTAGGGGATGCCGGCCACATCCTCAACTTTAAAGTGGTTTTTAAAATTTTTTTTCTTTTTCCCCATTTCAGAGAGGATTTGGACCAAGAAGAGAAAGCCAGGTTTGGGGAGCTCTGCAGCGGCGAGAACGGGAAGGGCAGGGAGTGGTTTGCGAGATACGTGAGCGCCCAGGTAAGGGGGGAGATGGGTGAAGGAGTGGCGATGCTGTACCGGGGCTTTGGAGCAGCCTGGGCAGGAGGCTCAGGCCAGGGGAATTTAGCAATGGCCAAAGAAATATTTTTGGAGGGCAGGAACTCAGGGAAAGGGAGGAACTTCCGTACGGAAGGGAATCAAAAGCACCTCAAGGTGGTTAATGACGGGCTTGTGGCAATGCGGGAGCGAAGGCATCTGGTTTATTTTTGCAATGAAATCACATCAGCACTCGGAAACACCTTGTTCCCTAGCAAAAGAACTCAGAGGGTAAAACGCTGTCTCCGAGAGAGGCGCCCCGCCGGGCTGTGCTCAACCCAGGGCTCTGTGCCTGCAGCGCTGCAACTCCAAGTGCGTCTCGGAGCAGACCTTCTACCGCCTGATGCAGTCGTTCGCCCTCGTGCTCTTCGAGTAAGTCAGGGTTGGGGTTGGGGGGGTGATGGGGCTTGGTTGCAGCCACTGAACGCCCCTGAGCTCAGAGCCACGGCAGCCAGCATGAGGCTGCTTGGGTTGCCATCACTGGGGGTCTTCAGCGAATCCTCCCTCCGTGTCAGGTGCCACCAGATGGATGACTTCAGCCCTGCCAAGAACCTCATGACCATGTGTTTCACCTACTACTACGTGGGTAAGAGGCACCTGCACCCTCGGGCTTTGCTTGCGCTGGAGACCAGTGGTGAAGTGTGCCCTGTGCATGGGAAGGGTGATGGACAACCCAAGCTTACACTGGCTGACTCTGACACTGGGCAGAAAAGAGCTTCCATGGCCCAGAAGCCGTGCAAACCTGCTGGAGACCCTCACTGGGGTGATACCTCATGCTGATGCTGGTTTGTCATTGCTTCTAGCCAGGGATGTTTGTATGTGGGGATCTCCAGATGCTCCCTAGCCCTGGAGATGTGATGTGAAACCCCCAGCCCAGAAGCACCTTGGCTCCTTGCTTGGTGTGTGGTGGTCACTCCTCCACAGGGGGCTGGACTTTCCATCCAGAATGGGGGGAGAATAAAGAATTACAGGAATTAGGGTGGGATGGGGTCTGGGCCATTTCTGTCTGGCTCCTGGTCTCCACAGTGCACTTTGTAGCTGGGAGCAAGTCCCCTAGGAGCTGGCAGCACCCAGGACCATGGGGCCAGCTGAGTTCCTGCCATGTTGCCCACAGGCAAGACCCAAGTGCTGCCCTTGGAGGCCAAGGAGAAGCCCATGGGCAGCATTGACTCATACCTGAAGTCGGCAAACAGCTGGCTGGCAGAGAAGAAGGACATCGCAGAGCGGCTGCTGAAAAACACATCGGCCAAGACGGAGAACGTAAAGGGCTTCTTTGGGGGCCTGGAGACCAAGCTGAAGGGTCCTACCACCAAAAAGAGCGAGTGGGTACCGCTCTGTTGGGTGGGCAGGGTGGGCTGAGACAGGCACTCGTAACATGACTGAGCCACAAACCTGCTGGGTGTAGGAGCACTATGAGCCAGGGGCTACCATGGCCATGGCAAGATGGTCTCTAGCTTGGTTCCATGCTCCATACTTTGGTCATTGGGCATCTCATGGCCTGGGAGTCCTGTGTCCCTTGCGCATGGAGATATGTGGTTCCAGGAGACGGTGCTGTTGTTGTGTGGTCTTCTGCATCATCTCTGTACTAGGTCCTGCTGGGATGGACATCACAGTCTCTTAGCCACCTTCTGGCCCCGGGGACAGTGGCACAGGAGCAGGGGGTCTTTCAAATGAAGGTGGTCGCCTCGGCCAGAGCATTGCCATGTGGGCTGTCAGGGAGGTAGGCTTTTCAGGAGCTGACTCTGATTTCTGTGCCACAGCGAAGGTGAGGACAAACCAAAGGAGAAGCTGAAGAAGACGGGTGAGTGGAGCCAGCGTTGCTGAATTAGGCATGGTCAAGGCATCTCTGGGGAAGGAGCGAGGGTTGGACGTGGTACGAGATGCCCAGGATTGCGGGAGGTGTGGGGTGGAGAGAAGCGCAAGAGGGACAATTGCTGCCTCCTCTGAGCTCCTAGAGAAGGGCTCCAGAGGAGCCTTCACAGCTCCTTGCTTTGGAGCAATCACAAGTCTTGTCCCGCAAGGACATCTTGTGGCATCTTGTCCTCGGTGGCACCAGGCTGCAGAGGTTTGAGCATCCACCACCTCTGAGCTTTTGTGCCACTCCAGTTGCCACCCTGGTAGCCCCATGTGCTATTGAACCAGAGGTCCAGTCCCTCAAGCATCCTCCTGGGACATCCATGCCTTGATCGAAGCTCATACCTGCCCACAAAGGGCAGCCAAAGCTCCTCTCCACATTGCTGGGGATGTGTTGGGGATGAGTATTTGGTTTGTGGACCTTGCCATCACATGGCTGCTCGGATGCTGAGCTTGGGGAATGGAAGGGCATGGGTGGGGAGGTGGGAGTCATCCAGACCTTGGCATCTATCTGTCTGTCCCCACAGTTTCCGTGCAGAGCCCAGAGGAGGAGAAGAAAGGAGAGAGGATCTACCTGTACATGCACCTCAAGCAGCAGCCCATCTGGTAAAGCCTGCCTGGGGCGAGCTGGCTCCTGCCCAGCACTGGTCTCCCAGGGCAGGGGATTTGTCCTCCTTGCCCACACATTCCCCAGACTTTCATGAGTGCTTTTGAGCCGCCGCTGCCCCTAAAAGAGGTGGCCGTGGCTTTTGCACATCCCATGTGCTCGTGAGAGTGTGTCTGCAGACACACAGGGAGCTGGTCCAAGAATGGACCAAAGCTGCCAAACTTGCTCAGCCCCCCCACACCCCGTCCCCCAGGAATCATCTCCTGGCCCCTGGGAGATGGGTGAGCTTGGTGGGTGAGCTTGGCCCTGGGATGCTGAGGGAGATAGGGGGTGGCCATCCCCAGCATCTCCCTCCCTCCCTTGCAGGCACAACCTGCGGTTTTGGAATGCCGCCTTCTTCGACGCCGTGCACTGCGAGCGCAGGAAGCGGTCCCCCACCACCAGGTAGGACATGTCCCCGTGGGAAAAGGAGATGCCGTGTCCCCCCCAGCCCCCGGCGTTCCCCTCTGCCCCTAATGGCCCTAAGCATGACCCACCCCGGGGAAACGCTCTGCTTCCCACCCCTGAGTGCAAAGCTGGGCCATGGATTTGGGAGCAGGAAGGCGATGCGCATCCTCTTAGGGATCTGGGAGCGTGAAGGTTTTCTTGCTCCTTTTGCATGGTTTTTGCAAGCCCTAGAGGCACGTCCAGAAAACCCAGCTGGGGTTTAGGCTGTTGGTGCTCAGTTTGCAAGCAGGTCTGGGAAACGGTGCTTGGTGCAGCCCTTTCGGGGCGGGGAGGGGATGCCCTGGGTCCCGGCTGTCCCTGGGAGAGCCATGGAAGTGATGCCAGCGCAGTGTAGGGACCGACCCCGGACATCCAGCAAGGATGAGAGCTGGAGACGGCAGCGTGGTCAGCCCCCAGGGCTGGGAGGATCAGGATGAACCCTGCAAAGGGAAGGGGCTGCTCCTTTTGGAGGGTGGCTGTGTGTGGGGAGCTTCTGGGTGCCCGGGCATGGGGAGCCCATGGGGTGCA